GAACTAATCGTAAATTTTCGTAAGTTTACGCTCGCGTAAAAACTTGCGGAGGTTTACGCCTATTTATTTTTGCTGATATATCTAACCAAATTCAATCAACTTTTTTTTATTTTAATTGTAGAAATCTATAGAATTCAAAAAAAAAAACGTTGATCAAATTTGGCCAAATAGGTGCCGAGATATCTTTGATCAAAGTCAAAAAAAAATTAAAAAAAATTAAAATGATTTACAGGGGTGTGGCATTATCAAAAAAGGGTGTGGAAATATCAATTCTCTATAATATATGTAAATTAATATTTTTATTTATTTGAATTATTCGAATTTTTAAATAATCCTATTTTTTTTCTATTTCTTAAATATATTTCATCTTATTTAATTTTAATAATGCTATACAAAATTATTTCGAATCTATTCACAATAATTAAATCTATTTTAAATAAAATTGAATATTTTATTTATAAATAAAATTTAGTAATTTTAATTTCTTGAATATTGAAGTTTTTAAAAATATTAGCTCTAAGTATTCTTATTAGTTTTAATTATTTTTGACTATTTTAATTTATTTCAAATTATTTCAAATTAATTTTACTTACTTAAATCATATAATTTATCTCAATCTATTTTGAATTATTTTGAATTATTTTATATAATTTTTTATATAATATTGCATAATATCTTATGTAATATTTTATAATTTTCTCATTTGCCTATTAAACTAATTCAATTAACAAATCTCATAAGCTTTGGGTCCTTGCCTGCTATAATAACGATATTATTATTGGTCAAGTTTGCAAGTTTTCTGTTAATCCAACTCAATTTCTATTACTCACTGGCAACATGATATTAACTCTTCCCTTTTTACTTGTTATCCTCTTCCTTCTATCATCTGTAAGCCCTGTTAAGACTGTAGTTTAAACTCCTTTTGTATTTCTAATCATTGTACACTTGAAGTTTTTTTAATTCTTTCTACCCAATTCTTTGGTAGAAAATCTAACAATCAACTTAAACTTAACACCAGCTATATTGATCTCATTCATTCTACTATTTTAAAAATCTTTTTGAGATTCCATCTTTACTTTTTATTAATATTGTAGACTCTCTTACTTTATTTTTTTTTTATAATAATATTGCTTCCAATAATCGATTCTAAATTGATTTAGCTAACCAACCTTATCAAAAGTTTACTTTCTACACAGATGGCTCTGTCAAAAATCTTGGTACTAAAGAATATACTATGAGTATTAGATAGGCCCAAGTCCACAATAACTCTGTTATTCACAATTTCTCTGCTCAAATTTTCAACTAGCCCTCATTATATAAAGCTAAGCTTCTTGTTATCCTCTCTGCTATTTCTACTCTTCTATGCAATTTTTCTGTTAATATTTATACAGACTCCTGATCTGTAATTTCCAAGTACAATAAGCTCCTCCAAACTCCTCACTCTATATCTAAATACTTTAAATTCAATTCTTGGCCAATCTGGCATATACTTATTAACTTAATCAAAGTATATAATATTGATTTAATTTTTTATAAAGTCCAAGCCCATAGTAATGACACTTTTAATAATCTAACTGATTATCTTGCTAATAATCATACTTATTTCTCAATTCTATTGTTTAATTATTTTAATATATATAACCCTTCTTTCTTTCTTCAATAAAAAAATTTTTCAATTAATAGCCCTTCTAGATACTTCATTAAAAATATCTGCAATGCTAATACTATTTCTATATAGTCCTCCCAAAGATGTTCTGATGAATAGTTACACTTTTCTAACTTTATTAACTAGAATTTTATATGGCTTTACTTTAACAATAATCATAAACGTTTACACAATTTTACTAATTCTAAACTTAGTTATCTTAAAATTAAATGTTACTTAATAGTCTATCTACACACTTTCATTTTTATTCCATTTCACCTAATTTATTTCTATCTTCTAACTGTTTTCAATACAATCTTTTTGACTCTCCTTTTCATTGATATCTCTGTTCCCACTATAACCTCTTATCCCAAATTATTAATTCCTCTATTTTAGAAACTATTTTGAATACAAATCTTGATTTTTTTTTCTATGAATTTAATTATTTAATATATACAATTTCATCTCATCTTTTCTTCTCTCTTCATCCTTCTACTCTTTATCCATACTCTCTTTATTCTATTCTTAAAAGTCTTATTCCTTCTTCGCTCATCCAATGCATGTTACTATTTGAAATATCTTATTCAATAGCTTTACAGTTAATTATCAAAATCTTTATTAAAATTTCTAATCAAATCTATAAACAAATATGAAAATCATACTATATTAACTTTTCTACTTGAAAAAAAGCACACCAAATATTATTTAATTCTATTTTTATTTAAGTTAGTTAATGATCTTCTACTTGTCTCTGTACTAAAACTCATAATATTTTCATATATAACTACCTATGCAATTTACCTGATCAACTACATTCTGATTCTTTTTTTTGCCCCCCAGCTAGGCTTGCTATACTTAAATTTAATATCTGATCCACTTTGTGGATTTAGTTTAGTATTCCTACTAATCATATATTAACTATTCAAATCTAGATGAGTCTTAACTACTTTAATAGGTTTAGGTCGCAGATAAATTAGTCTGAGCTTTTATTCTTGCATATAATTTATATTTATTCATTTATATATAAATTAAGTTTTCATTTAGTTTTGTTTCTTTATGATTATTTATATAAATTATTTAATAAAAATATAAACAAGGCCTCATCTTTTAATACCAAAAAAAAAAAAAAATATCATAATTTTATATTTTACAATATTGCGAAATTTATTATATAATATTACATTTTGTAAATTATTTCACAATATTATGCCCTATTAAATTTGCTGATAAAGTTAAGGATCTCATAAGAAGTGAACAGTTGTTATAACAAGTCATTTTATATAATTATTGTTTGGAAAATATTTATTAAATAGAACTACAGATGTAAAAATTGTTATATTTGTATATTTCAGTTAATATGAGTTAATATAAATAAAGGTATAACTGCTAAAAAAAAAAAAATTTTATTATTGTTATTATTTTTATTTTATTTTTTTTAGTGCTATATGACTAAATATTTATTTAATTGGATTGCCTGGAAGACAGAGTTTGTTGTAGTAGCAGTGTTATTTTGGGTATCCTAATTTTTTGCATATTAAACATACATATACATGTCTATAATTGTTTTCTTTAAAATAGCCTTTACAGTTTTAGTTAAGGCATATCTGTCTGCTATCATGGCATGTAATGTCAGATTTGGGGTTATGAGATGTGATAAGACTATACTATTTTTTTCTTTGGCTTTGATATCATGATCAAACAAGATTGAATCACAGTTAATAATAAAATAGAGTTAGCAGTCTTTATTATAGGCTGCTATAGCTAAGAATTTATATCAAATGTATAAGGTATTAATGTGATCTTAATATATATTTAGCTCCTGTTCTCTGTTATTATAAATAATTAGAGTGATCTCTATATAGGCTCAGAAAGCCATAAGCTATTCTGCAATATTATTGAACTTGTGGAATTGGGTGTATTTTTAAAGGCAATAACCCCTTTCTTGAAGGTTTGTAAGGTCTGTTCTTCTTTATTATATTTTAAATTCTTGTACCCAAACTTCACAAGATCAATGTAACTTCTAGTTGCAATGGCTTTTTACAAATAAGATGATAAGTTAAGCTTGTTAGACAACATTTTTAGTAGTTTCTATCTGTTAAACCAATTGAGAATCCACCACAATCTGATTCTCTTTGTGTTGGCAGCCTGAGGGTTGGTAAAGCCCAAAACTAGGTAAAATTCAATAATAGTGTATATGAATGAGAACAACTTTCATGTGGTTACTCTCATTTGCAACGTGCTGAAAACCTGGGGTGTTTGCACTAGGCTACACAGTTGGGAAATTGATGATAAGATTGTTAAGAAGTGGGGTTAGTGAACAATTACCTTGGTGTGTTGAAATGCCATGGTCGGTTGTTTCACTTGTCATTGGGTCATGTGCTGAATTCATGATTGTGTGTAGACATCGATGAAGTCCCTGGTGTTGGGTTGACATAATGTTGGTTTTGTGAGATTGTTTTGTTGTGGGCAGATCCTCGGGTGAGAGTTGCGTAGGTTTGTATTTTTATATAAAAGGGGTTGGTGGCTTGTTGTACGCATGATTTCATGCTGCTGATCGTCAGTGATCCTCGATGCTTGTGTGATTGGTTTGATTTGTTATGCGTGATATGCGTGTTCCTTATGCGTGTACCTCCTTGATGCTATACGTTTGGCGGTGCTGAGTTCTGAGCGCACCGGGAAGGCTCGGTGCTTCGGGTACGTGATGGGTTGGTATGTGTGACCGTGCCTGGCCTTATTTTTCGACCAGTTGACTCTAGTCAACAAGATAATCTTCGTTATGTGTTTATAACGATTAAAGATTATTAAAAAAGTCGGTAGATTTTAAATTCGTAAAATTAAATCTAACCCGTTATTGTCCGGAGCATAGCGACGGACATTATATGTTTACGTAAGGTGGTACAAAAGTTACTGAATTTGGTGTCTGTCCCATGCGTTAAAAAGCTCTGTTTTTGATTCATCGTAATAATGTTTAGGTAAGGTTGATACGAACATGTGTAGTAGTTTCTTTTACATGCTCCGGACACACAATGCCATGCATTAACCTAGTTTAATGACGGGTCTAAATCTAATAATTAATGTAAATTGATCATACTGCTAATAAAGTTTCATTCTATATAGTAGGCATTTCAAAAAAAAAAAGAAAAAAAGCCATCAAAAAATGGTACAAAATACCCTCTTTATTATCAAATATTAAAATATATAATTTAACGAAGGATAAAAAAATATTGCAAGCAAACTTAATAAATTGTTTTTGTGTAGCAAATCTGATCAATAACTTATGCCTTTGATCATGTTTGTCCAAACGAAATAATGCATAATAAGCAGTATTTAAAGTTTACCATTCTTTTTTAAGGCATCATACAAAGTTAGGGCTGATAAAGCCTTCATATCTGGAATTTTCCATAGATGATCCAATTCTACCAATCCAACTGTAATACTTTCTCCGTGATCTCGTAATCCACAAAGCTTACCTTCCAAGCTTTTAACCTCTTTGTGATCCATTTCCTTAATACATAGACATAACCTTAAGAATTCATCACAGCCACCGGGTGATGGATACGCTCCTCTGTATTTATCTCCATATGCCAATTCGGTCAAATCAATTAGATCTTGGTCTTTTATTTCAATTCCCGTTTCTTCTTTAATTTCTTCACTGGCTTTTCCAGCGAAATTGCCCGATCCATCGAGCATTCCTGTTACCGAAATAAATTATGTATTAAATACACAACCAAGAAATTTACTTTCATTGATTATACCTGCAGGTATCTCAGGGAAATTAAACGATGGAACAGGCAAGCGTGGTTGATATGTAATAACAACGTGCTCCTTTAACATTTGATCATTTGGATCTTTAGATCGAAGAATTAGTAATACTGCGACTGCACCACCTCTCTAAATGATTAAAAGAAAACTCGATATAAATATTAATTTTGGCCATGTTTCATTTTATTTATTAAAAAAAAAAAAAATTTTTTTAAGCATAACCATAAAAACAATTCCAGGCACATTTTTTCCATTTTCAACGAGTTTTGCGTCTACTTTAAATTTAATGAATCCAATTTTCGATCCAAAATAATCGACATTTTGAATTTCAATTTTATTAACTTCAAGTTCTTTCTTATCTGTAGTAAGAACTTTGTTGGATAAAGTAGAAACCCATTCCTCAAAAGGTTTAAATTTAAGTACTGACGCGACTTCTATGTTTTGTTGCGTGACAGTAATAGGAACGTTGGAGCCACCAATATTGATCGAGGCCTCTGCGTTGGACATTGATCGATAGGCAAAATTTGCAATAGGACGTATAGGTAAAGTGTTCCACGAACAATGGATGTTCAGTGAAAGCCTGCGAGCAAAACACGAATGAAGGGTTTTTTTATACATATGATTTTACAATAATTGTTAACGTTAACTAATCAGCCAATTACAATTTTCGTAAGTCTGAAACCAGTTGATTGGCTATTTTCCGTGTAGCAATTGTACAAACATGCGTACGTACATACCAGATACGTACGTACGTAAGAAATTACGCATACCCATATCATAAAATTGATAAATAACGATAAATCGAAGTTTTGGATTTTTGAAATAATTATTTAATTCTTGTATCTGTTAACAATGACGACTCTTGATGACAAAAGTCTTTGGAACCAAGCCGAGGATGGGCTTGAAGATCTTGGGCAAGAAATCTTAAAGTCTAGTACCGATGATATTATCAATCGCACGCGCTTGCTCGAGAATGAAATTAAGGTTTTTAAGCATTGATAATTTTTGTAAAATTATTAATTGAGATTTTAATTACGCATTTGTATCGCCATGGTAAATAGGTGATGAAATCGGAGCATATGAGATTGATACATGAACAGAATAGTATGAAAGAAAAGATAAAGGACAATAGAGAAAAAATAAAAGTCAACAAACAATTACCATATCTTGTGGGGAATGTTGTTGAGGTATGTAATTAAAAAATGAGGTGACAGGAATCTTTTATAATGTTATATCAAACTTCTATGCAAATCTATCTTTGTTTAATTATATAAATATCAATGATGCAATTTTTTGTCTTTTATTTTTTTTTTATTCTTCTATTTTTTTTTGCAATCCATTGTCTAAAAAGTATTGAAAACAAACTAACGTTTTTTTACGTGTTGAATTCGTTATGACAAATCAGTTACTCGACATGGATCCAAATGATGAACCGGAAGAAGATGGTGCCAACATCGACCTTGATGCGCACCGAAAAGGAAAATGCGCAGTAATTAAGACATCTACGCGACAGGTAAGACTCTAATTGTATCCATTCGTTATTTCATTTTTTATTTTTACCATTTATAATAAAATTTAATCAAATTTCTATCGGTTAGACAATTTTTTTACCTTTAATTGGACTTGTTGATCCAGCTACTTTAAAACCAGGAGACTTAATCGGCGTAAACAAGGATAGTTATTTAGTCTTGGATACGTTACCTGCTGAGTAAGTCTTAATATTTTACCTATAGCATTCGTAATAATTCTCATAACAAGAGTATCTCTATTTCAGATACGATTCTCGTGTTAAGGCTATGGAAGTTGATGAAAAACCAACTGAAGATTATACTGACATTGGAGGTTTAGATAAGCAGATCGAAGAATTGGTAGAGGCTATCGTGCTTCCTATGACACATGCTGATAGATTCAAGAATTTAGGTATCAAACCACCGAAAGGTACAGAGAAAATTTGATATACTATTTGTTCTATTTTTTTTTTTTTTTGCCTATAAAAATTTATAAAAAGAAAAATCTTTTAGGTGTTTTAATGTATGGACCACCTGGCACGGGTAAAACATTGTTGGCAAGGGCTTGTGCCGCTCAGACCAATTCTACATATTTAAAATTAGCAGGCCCGCAACTTGTTCAGGTAAAAATAATGACTATTTAATTCTATTTGCGAATGATTGAGATATTTTCATATTTTATATACAATTTTTACTTAATATGTGTAATTAAGATGTTTATCGGTGATGGAGCCAAACTTGTGCGTGACGCGTTTAACTTGGCAAAAGAAAAAGCGCCTTCCATTATTTTCATAGATGAATTGGACGCTATAGGAACTAAGCGTTTTGATAGTGAAAAAAGTGGTGATCGAGAGGTACAACGAACAATGTTAGAATTATTGAATCAACTTGATGGATTCAGCAGTGATGAAAGAATCAAGGTTTGTGATACAACTTTCTTCATTATTGTATACTAGGGATGTTAACGGTCTTGTCTGGTTCAGTCTGGTCGATTTTTGTCTGGTTCATGATAGTCTATAGTCTTAAGCAGTGTTGTCAATGGACATGGACATATAAAAATATGTCCATGTCCATGGACATTGGACATTGGACATGGACATTGGACATTGTGTCCATGGACTGTCCATGTCCAATAATTTGCTTGGACATATGTCCATGTACAACACTGGTCTTAAGAGTTAATTAGACCAGACTGGTCCAGACCAGTCCAGTTCTAAGACTAGGAGCAGCCAATTTTTTCCATATTTGGACTGGTTTAAGACTAACTGCGGTCTTTTAGTCTAAGACCAGACATATAACATCTCTACTGTATATGCGTTTTGTATTACATTAATGTTATAACAAGGAAAGTTAAACTGCAGGTGATTGCTGCTACAAATCGTATTGACATTTTGGATCCAGCACTCCTGCGATCTGGACGTCTTGATAGAAAGATAGAGTTTCCGCTTCCAAATGAAGAGGCGCGTGCACGTATCCTTCAGATTCATTCACGCAAAATGACCGTTGGTGCTGACGTCAATTATGACGAATTAGCTCGTTGTTGTGATGAATTCAACGGTGCTCAATGTAAAGCTGTTTGCGTTGAGGCAGGCATGTTAGCTTTAAGGAGAAATGCAACTGAATTGAATCATGAAGATTTTATGGACGGTGAGTTTGATAAATTTAATTATACATATTCGGGTACATGCGTGCATACACACACGGAGATGTATCTATTATTATGTCAGCCAATCAGTTCTTTAAAATGACGTATTATGGATAATGTGCGCGAAAAAAACTATTCGGCTTACTATAAATGGCACATTTATACACACTGCCCATACATAAAAGTATATATAACATAATAATATATTCACTATATATTTTTTTGGTAATTATAAATAGGTATTCAAGAGGTCATGGCAAAAAAGAAAACTTCATTACAGTATTATGCTTAGATACAATACTTTCACTAAAAAGAAATAAGCCTTTTTGTCTAAATTTTATTAGTAAAGGTGAATGCAAGGTTTTCACCAAAATAAAACGTTAAAATATAAATATCTATAAAATTCAAAAATTGTGTAACTTTAATAAGTCTTAATTATTGAATATCATTTACAAAAATAAAAGCTTAACAGAAGCAAGGTCTAAGCCCAGAGCGGTACTGTGTACAATTATTGTCAGCCGATATGGTTACATTAATGATGTCTGATGATTGGATGAATTTAACAGTAAAATTGCCTTTTTAGGGTTGGATCTTTAAGACAAGGAGGTCACAGGTTATACCACAAACACCCACCTAAATTTGTGTTATAGATAGTTTATTGAATTTTTTATACTGTACGAAAAAAAAAAACACAAAGCTTTTTTTGTTTGTATTATATTAAAGTGACATTTTGTGACTAATCAAGTACTCTATTTGTTTCCTCTTGGTACCGCTATTTTTTTTATTTTAATACCTCAGCTTGCTCTGTAAGTTGACAAAAACTTTATAGAATATCATTCATTTCACATACGCATTTTCCAGTTATGCCTCATCACAATTCCCTTGAGATGTCAGCACCCCCAACTAAGGCGAATTTGAAGGCATGGTGGAAGCAATTCGCAGCAAGGAATGCGAAAAGAGAAGGAGAAAGGAAGGGGAAAGGTAGCTTTGACGTTTTGATGATAACGATAACTTATTAAATTAATACATTTCTTTGGAGTTTAATATTTCTAAATAAAAGAAAGATTGGAAAAATTTTATGTTATTTCATTTTATTTTATTTTATTCTTTATCAATTAATTTAATTTTAAACTAAATTATAGGTTCTCGTGGAATTTTTGGCGTTGATCTCGCCGAAGGAATAGAATATGCTAGAGTACCAATATGTATGGCAGGGCCAGACGGGAAACAATATATATACGGGTATATACCGACAATAGTCGCAAAATGCGGAATGTTTTTAAAAGAACAAGGTATTTATTTTCTCTAGCGATTTATTTTTTTTTTATTGGATCAAATTTTCATTGGAGGCATATTGCTTCGCTAGGAATTAGGATTTGGAAATAAAAATCCTAAAAACCATGCCGGGGTAGATACTTTTGGTATTTCGAAATTTTTTGGTTTGTATGTTGTTTTGATCTCACACCTTTATTATTTTTTTTTTTTTGTTAAATTTAGCGACAACAACTGAAGGCATATTCCGATTAAGTGGATCAGCCAAAAGGATAAAAGAATTGCAAACGATTTTTGATTCTCCACCGGTTTATGGAAAGACTTTAACCTGGGTTGGCTATTCTGTACATGATGCTGCAAATGTACTACGAAGGTATCTAAACCATTTACCAGATAAAGTTATTCCACTTGTTTGGTATGACAAGTTTCGAGCAGTACATGGTAATAAAGCGTCATATTATATTTACGTTGTGCTGATTTCGGTTCTTATTAATTATTGTTGATATGTATACCTTAGTAGATTTTAAATTACTGAAATTTTTTTTACAATTTTTTTTTCTTCTGCCAGTTAGCTATAAGGATGCAGGCGCCCTCGTGGAAAACTACCAAAGGTTGATCCAATCACTTCCTAAAGAAAACCAGCATTTACTCCTTTACATTCTCGATTTACTTGCAGTTTTTTCATCTAAATCTTCCCAAAACTTGATGCCATCAAAGAATTTAGCTTCTATTTTTCAACCCGGCATTCTATCTCATCCAGATCACGATATGGATCCTGAACAATATAAATTATCACAAGAAGTTGTGGAGTTTCTAATTGATTATCAAAATTATTTTTTGATGTCTTTACCAAATCCTGATCATGATATCCCTGTAATTGAGCCTATTAGGACTCGAAATATTGATCCGGACACTGATACAATGTCACTTATGGAGCCATACGACCTTAATAATGTACCCATTACACAATTACCATTACGAAGATCTAGTTTAAGCCTTGAACCTTCAAGCGATAATGATATATCATTGCCGCAACGACGACCATCATATGATTCTAGAATATTAAGTCGTCCTGGATCTACAATTCTAGGAAGGAGCAAAACATTGCCCAATAAAAGATCTACGTACAGGGACAGTCAAAACTTAGGGGTTGCGGAAGGAGAAACCATTGAAGATCCCAACGGTAATTTATAATTCATACATAGCTTTTCCTTTTTTTTGGGGTGGGGCTTTATAAAATTTATTTAATTCACATATATGTTGCTCGTCTATTATTGTATTTTTGATAGTAGTTTAGTAATGACGGGCTGTAGGGGTGGATATATTTATGCACTATTTTCATTTCTTCCTATTGCATTAATGAAACCATTATTATAGAGGTTTTTATATTTTAATGAGTGGAAGCTCTATATCTATATCTACGATTTTAAATATTAATAATACTTTATAATATATTAGCTATTCTTTTTATTATTTTTTTTATACTTTGATTATCCATACTCAAATCCTTAACATTTTGGGATGGAACCAATTCATCATTTGTGTTATGTATTTTAAATAAAATCAATTTCGTCTATATGCATTGGATCTTTCCACATATAATATATATTATTTATTTTAATCTTTATTTCATTTGTTTTTATTATAATTGCTTAAAACTTACAATTATCATATATTCTCACGGGTTTAATTTCCTATTCTAGGTAATGGCAAATCTAAAACAAAAAAACGCGGAACCCGAAAAAGATTTTCGTACTTCGGATCATTTATATTTCCTATAGATTTAGCATTTGGTTCTCGATCTACACGGTTCGAACGAGGTCTAGCATCGAGGAAGGAATCAAAGTTAAAAACAAACTCAAGAAAATCAGCATCATCACCTATTAACAAATCATTTTGGTCATCATCGACTGATCAAATTGAACGGTTTGAGGATGATTTATCAATAAATTCTTCAATATCAACGAGAAAACAAACCCACAATGAAAAAAAGAATAATGTCGAGAAAAATTCAAAGAAAAGATGGTATTCTAATTTAATCAAGACTTAAGACACGGTTTAGATGATAAAAAAATGTGTTCGTTTTAAAATTCTATTTTTCATTTCTTTTTTTTTTAAAAAAAAAAAAATTAATATTTTATTTCAATTAAGTTACATAATTATGCATGTTTAATAACGACTGTATATTTTTTAAGTAACATACTCTTTATGTTTTATATAATTTTTTTTACAAGCAAATCATTAATTATAATGTACAGATACATGCAATTTGAGATATAAGAATTCATATTTGGTTAGGCTAAAGCTTGAGTAACTCGTTTAGTAAATATATATCCTTATTTTCGTAGATTTAATCCAAAAATACCCCAATTTTCTTTGTAAAAATATTTAATGAGAAATATATTTTTGTTTCAAAGAGTATTGACAAAAGAAAACAAAACAGGAATAGTAGTTTTTTATATTTCTAACTATTAAAGTCAAATATGATACTTATGTAAATTTTAATTAAGTTTCATTTATTAAATTACCAATCGTATAAATTATCATGTGAAAATCTGCAATCACAATATCTAATATTTTGAAGATACTTTGACCAATCAAAAACTAGCAATGTAAGGTCTTTTGAAAGATTCTCGACCTATTCGTTGAATGCAATAATGTCAACCACTTCGCATACAAGTGATGATTCTTTCTCTATTAAAAAAAACCTACCTATAAACCCAGATTTACTTAATGAACTAGAAGAACAAGCTCGCGGTATTGCAGAAGAACTTGAAGCAATGTTTCAAAATTTAAAGTCACAAATGTTTGAGGTTCGTCCTCCTCGTTTTTTTCTATCATTTTTGGTGATTTAAATCTGATTTAATATTTTGCCCAATTCTTGGTAGGCCTCGGTCCTAACTTCTGCTTCATTTGACGTCTATAAGCAAACTGTCGAGAATCATAGTACAGAAATTAAAGAAGCATCAAATAAAACTCGGGAACTAATAGAATTATGTGACCAATTGGATAAAGAATTTGTCGATGTACAGACATTAGCAAGTAATATGTGTGTATATCATTATTATTCTATTATTATTGTTATTATTATTATTATTATTACTAGAATCCATGTTATGCACGATAATGAGACATGTAACCTTGGGACGTTATTATTATTTAGTAAAAATATTAAACAGCAAGTTGACACACTTCATAGTGCTTGGACCCGGATATCTAAATAGATGACCTGTCTTACCTATCAGGTTATCTGGTTTTTAATTATCTCGACGTTAATACATAATTACTACAGCTATCACATATTTTTCGTTATTTCTTGTAATATAACTAGTACATAACTCGTTACTTGGGCTTATGGTTTTAAATTCCATTATTTCGTGAAATCTTATAGAATTTAGTCAGGTAAATGGTATTATAAATACCATTTATCTGACTAAATTCTATAAGATTTCAGGAATTTAAAACTATAAGCCCAAGTAACGAGTTATATACTAGTTATATTACAAGAAATAACGAAAAATATGTGGTAGCGATAGGAAGGCTGTAGTAATTATCAGTGTTGGCTTGACCAGACCAGTTTGACCAATCTGACCGGTCTGGTCAAAGGATCTGTACTGGTCAGATTGGTCAAATAGTATATTTAAACATAACTTATTATATAGTATATATATTATATTTATATAATAGATTTAACCAATTTGACCAGTTTGACCAGTCCAATTTAACCAGTAAATTTTTGGTTGACCACTAATTTGCCCAACACTGATTTATATATAGGGAAAGGTGATTTCCAAAGGTCTGATTCTTTATTTAGCATTATTCTCACTTCAATTTTTCCAAATTTCTAGGAATCAATACACATTACCTCATTTTTTAAATCCAATTTAAATTTAAATTAACAAATAAAATTGTAACATTAATTTTTATATATTTTGTTTTAATTCCTCGTCCTAATCCTTACAAGTCATCTCATAAAGTCAAATTGATCCGGCAAAATATAGCAACTAAAATCTGTATGATTTTAAATTGTATGGCTTAGCCTATATATATTAATAAAATTTGATCTTCGACGTGCCTGCTTATGGCGCAGTTCATAAATTTATTTCAACTAAACAATTATAGAAATTCGTTTAAACGTAGATCGTAGATCACACGTTTAAGAATCAATATAACGAGAAAATTTCTTCTTGCTAAGATTATAAATGTTGTTTTAGGCGCCATATTGAATTAAAACTATTAGCATTGTATAAGTATAAAAATATGTATTTATGAATTTGTAATGATTCATGACTATTAAAAAGCTAATATATTAGTATTAATAATAGTAATGGGCACCGCGGGATTTTCAAATCCCGTGTGGATTTTTAGATCTCGCGCGGGCAAAATTCTGCGGATAGTGCTCAGAATCACGTAATATTATTACCCTAACTGGTTCAAAAGACTAAGTTCAGAAGCAGGTTCACTAAACCGGTCCTAATTCAGTCTGGTTCAGGGCCGTTCTAAATACAAAAATTTAGATTATTATTTATCGACTTGACTAAGTTAATATTTAAAAATTAGCCAGCTAAATCAGAGTCGATTATTCAAAGGCGAGACCAACTGGATTCTGTGTTTTACATTACCCCCTCTCCCCTCCGGAAGAGGGGGGGGGGGGGGGTTTGGGGGTTAACTTTCATAGTAAAATTTCAAAAA